AATTACTCAGGGGAGAACAAATGTTGCCTAAATTATTAATAAAGAACAAAGAAATTTCTTAGAAAGATATTAGTTTAGTTGCCTTAATAATAATGCACATAGTTAAATAACTCAAATTATTAATAAGGTAGAACTTTAATATTCATTAATAAAAATAATATAATATGAAGATTGATTGCTACTATAGTCAGCGAATTAAACTTTTCTTAAACAATTAATTATCAAATCTAAAATTAATAAAAAAGAGAAATTATAACAATAACAATCCTTCTATTCCCTACTTTCCACTCCCAATACTTGCAATAATGGAAAAGTAAGTTTTGACCTGTGTTTCACTAAGAGAGCCGTATGGACAGGGCATAGCCAAAGTATATTCACTAAGGTCACTTAACCTTAGTAGAAGATCTAGAAATTTCTGTTAGGGTGGACCAAAATCTAAAATTGTATATATTAGTATTTTTTTTAACCCCTATTTGACCCCATTAAAATTATGAAATTATTAAAAAATAGGTATATATTTTATAGTAATTAACAATTTTGACCCTACTAAATTTTATATTGGCCCCACTAAAATTACCTATTTTTATTGACCCCACTAAGTTATTTTTATATTTTATTGATCCCGAGATTGAAAATGCCCATATTTTTCATGTTTTCTGTCTTTCTCAGTTCCTTTCCTCTTCTCTCATACTTTTTTCTTCTTTTGGTCAGATTAATAAAAGAGGACTGCTTCTTTAGAGGTCACAAGGTAAGATGATGCTCATTTTTGGTTATTTTGCTTAAAAATCTTTTCTTTTATCCTTCTTAATTGATGAAATATCATGAGCTATGTTGCCCTAGGTTGTTTTTATCATTTTATGTAAGTAATTGACATAATTCAATTATGGTGTACCCAAAGTATAATTTGGTATGTATAACTTTTAAAATTAATTTTTTAGATTACATTTTTTTATGCTTATTACTTTAGTATGTATTTTATTGTAAATTTATTAACTTAGATCTTTTGGCACCATTGACTATAAATTCTAGCTACGCCCGTGCGTGTGGACTATGGACTCAACTAATTCGTAATATACACAACATGTAGCATTTAAAATTCTAAGCTCTTTGACAAACAAGAAAACAAATTGGGTTGTGGTTTATAAAGTAAACAATATGAATAATACTAATAAAATATTAAGCATTTCTTTATTTAATTATTCCGAAACTAGAAAACGCTCATTACAAAAAAGTCAGACACATGAAGTTCAAATCGGTGAGCCATTTGCTGTAGTGGGACCGATTAGTCAGAGATTCTCCTGCTGAAGAACAGGTACTAAATCAGGCCCTCCTTCTAGTGCCAAACTGTTCATGCTTGATTTTGACACCAACTCATCGCACGTGGGAAGTGCTGAGTTGACTCTAAGATCACATGTGAATATAGGGGTATTGGATTGAATAAAGGATGAAGAATAGTGTTTAAAGTGGTTCGGATGCTTAAACAAGCAAATCCTACGTTCACTGATATTGTATTAATATATGAGACCAGGTTGCATTCAACGAGTTGATTTATAGCTTGGAGAATACAAGTGAATACAAGAGAGAGAGAGAGAGAGAGAGAGAGAGAGAGATTTTACAGAGTGAAATTAGTTAATCCCACAAACGGGAAAGGATCCCTCTATTTATAGTGGGATGAATTGAGGTAATGGTTACTAAATCTGTGAGTGGGTCAGGTTGCCGTGCAAATCCTTCTTTGCATCCCGTTGCTCACCTGCTCGAGTGATTTCCTCGACTTGTGCAGGGATTGGACACGTGGGTTGTTTCTAGCCTTTCGTCAATTGGGCGCATACCCACTGCATTGGCAAGAGTCATGTCGCTTATGCCAGCATGAGACGTGGTTGCATCTGAATGGTTGCAGAACCTATCTAAGCTCTGACCGCCAATGCTGATAAGGCTCTGCGTTAGCCCTACTTTTTCAGGCATAACAGTTAGGAATTCTAATTTCCAGGACTAAGGGTCCCTCAATAATTGTAGTCTCATTTATAGATAACCTTTTCATTTATTTTAGTGTTACTTGTTTTTTCTGCAACCTCAAAAGTCAAAGTTTTCTACCTACTCTGTGTCTTCCATTATCTATTCAAACATGGCGGTGCGGTACACTATCGCACAAGCATATTGCATTTCTCCAATTTATTGAAATTAAAAGTATTAGGAGGAATCATGGAAAGGGAAGAATCATCAACTTTCTCAACTATTCTGTTTTCTTTGTTGATCTATCTGTTCATTACTGAAATACAAGCGAGAAAACTTGTACAAGTGTGTTCTTCTTCATGTGGAGACATGGAAAACATAAGCTAGCCTTTTCGCCTTAAGGGCGATCCATGATGGAGTTGGGTCTAACTTCTCACCCAAAAGGCTTTATTGAGTGGGAGGATTGCCTACTCTTATAAACCCATTGGCTTGAGCATCCCTAGTCGATATGGGATCTCCAACACTCCCCCTCACGGTCAAGCCCATATGGTCCACTTGCCTATGAATGGAGGTAGTTTGGCAACCCACCGTTTGTCAATCACCCAGCTCAAATGGGGTTGGCTCTGATACCACTTGATGGAGTTGGGCCTAACTCCTCACCTAAAAGGCCTGATTGAGTAGGAGGATTACCCACTCTTATAAACCTATTGGCTTGATCGTGCCTAGTCGATATGAGATCTCCAACAATCCAGTCGGTTGTGGCAATCCAGACTATGAGCTTTCCTGTCAGAACAACAAAACCATCCTACAACTCTATTCGGGGCAGTATTATGTGAAGAGAATTTCCTACAATGATCAAGTTATCAGTGTTGTTGATGTTAACTTAGCCAATGGAAGCTGCAGCCTTCCAAATAAATTTCTGCGACAAGAAATTTTCAGAAGCATATTCAACTATGATAATGGCTTTCATAGATTCCAAGTAGCTGGTCGATACACCTATGCCAATTATATGAACTGCTCTGGCAATATCAGCGATTTGAATTATAAAAGAGTTCCTTGTTAAAGTACAAATCAATCTCAAATTTATGTCAATTATGGGGGTAGAAGTTTATCTGAACTGCCAGACTTATGCTATTTCATTACAGTGATTTCTATCCTTCGTACAGATGCACAGTTTTCTTCTTACGAAACCATCAGGAAGTTGCTTGAAGCAGGCTTTGAACTTCACTAGTCAGTTGAGTGCAAGAATTGTGTTGATGCTGGTAGCTTTTGCTTTTTGAATGTGGACACTATAACTTGCCCAGAAAACACTTGTAAGCTTCTCTTCCTCCATAAGCAGTGACTTCTTTGATTTATTTGTGTTGTCCAATCCTGTATAGAAACAGCACTACTTTTAATTTTGTTTCTACTGTACTTGTGCAGATTTTTATCTATCGCAGAATGTTTATTTCATTTCAGTACAGTATCTCTTGGGTATAATTTCCTCATTGGAATTATTTTGTCCTTTTATATTGTGTTGCATACTACTAAAACCTTCAATTAATAGCTTTCTCTTTACCTGCAGAGCTTGCAGTGGTACTACATCTTATTGCTAGATTTATCATTGCTCCGTTAGTTTTATTCGCGTTCCTGATCCACAAATGTAGAGCAACACGGAAGACAGTTGATAATGTGGAGAAATTTCTACACAAACAGCAATCCTGGATGCCTAAAAGGTTCTCTTATTCCGAGCTAATGGCAGTGACAAACAACTTAGGAGACAAATTAGGCCACGAGGGCTTTGGATCAGTTTATAAAGGACACCTTCATACAGGTTCCTTGATTGCTGTTAAGTTGCTGGGAAACTCTAAGTTCAATGGTGAGGAATTCATAAATGAAGTCTCTACAATCAGTAGAATTCACCATGTTAATGTTGCAAAGTTGGTAGGATTCTGTTCAGAGGGATCTAACAGTGCACTTGTATACGAGTTTATGCCTAATGGATCTCTTGATAAGTATTATCTTTTCAAAAGAAAGCAAAAGGCTATCATTTAGCTAGGAGAAACTCTATGAGATTGCTTTAGGAACAGCTCGTGGAATTGAGTATCTACATGGAGGTTGTGATGTCTGCATTCTTCATTTCCGCATTAAGCCTCATAATATCCTGTTAGACGATCATTTCATCCCAAAAGTCGCAGATTTCGGCCTTGCAAAATTTTATCTGAAAGAGAATGATTTTGTGTCCATAAGCACTGCAAGAGGAACAATAGGATAGGTTACATAGCCCCTGAGTTAATTTCAAGGAATTTTGGAGCTGTCTCTTGCAAGTCAGATGTTTATAGCTTTGGGATGTTGTTGTTGGAAATGGTTGGAGGAAGAAGGAATTCTGTCATGAAGGCAACTCATTCAAGTAGAGCATACTTTCCGTCATGGGTATATGACCGAATAATTGAAGGAGAAGATTTAGAGCTCCCAAATGTTTCTGAAACTGAAGATGTCATAGCCAAAAAACTCTGTATAATTGGGTTATGGTGCATTCAAGTGACGCCGGCGGATCGTCCTTCAATGATCAAAGTTATGGAAATGTTAGAAGGAAGCATTGACGACTTGCAGATGCCACCTAAGCCTTTCTTTTCTTCTTCTCAACATAACTCTATGAGAGAGGTTCAATCTGATCATTCTTCAACGGAGTTGCTAGAATCCGATTCAATAGTGGAGGAAAACTCGTGTAATGATACTGATGTATAGCTTTGTCATTGAATTGTGTCATAATAAAACAAAATCTTCATCTATTTTCTTACCTTTATTTGCATGTCAATCTTTTGAGATATTGAAATTCTATGAAACATTATCGCTCACAGAAAGCAAATATTATGCCCTCAGGCCTCATCCAATAACATATTCAGAACTCCTGCCCCACCAGTTCATATTTCTTTGCGGTGACTTATTGGCTCTGCATTCATATTTTACAGTCCAATCATCCGCGTGGACTAGTCCTCCCTAACGCATTCATATTTTAGAACCCATTCATAATTTAGAGTCCAACTATTCGCGTGGAATAGTCAAAAGATATTAATCATTCTATCTTGTGGGGTTCTGATTAGTTGACTCAAGAAAATTGTTCTTTTAATGGAGCTGAAGGAAAATTATTGCATTGCAGTTTTTCAGCAATGCAGAAAATCTCAATCTCTCTCTCCTTTTCTCTCTTCATTTCCCTTTTGCCGAGTATAATCCTCTCCCTTCTCTTACCTTGCACAGAGTCCAAAACTTCAAGTGGAAACATTACATCTGAATTTTGTCCAATTACAAATTGCAGCGAAGAGGGTCCAACCATCAGATTTCCCTTTAGACTCAATACTCAGCCAAATTTTTGTGGCCATGAAGGGTTTGAATTATCTTGCTCAAATAACAGCACTATCTTGCATCTTCCTTCATCTTCCAGTGATTACTATGTCCAAGAAATTTCTTATCATGACAGCATTATCACCATTAGAGATGTTCAAGAGACCACATGCCCAATACAAAGTCTTCTCCCTTTCAATATCACAAACTCCAAATTTATTTTCTTCCCTTCTTGGTTGGGGATGACTTTAGTGAACTGCACTGAGACGGTTGATTTATCTGGGGCTATTGGACCGGTTGAGTGTGTAAGTGGTGATAAAAATTTTGTTTATGTAATAGATTCTCGTACAGATATGGATGTTCTTCGTTCCGCTTGCAGAGCATACAAATCATTTGATGTTTCGAGTGAATTTGATCTGCTTAAAGCTATAATGAGGGATTCGAGCACACCAAGAGTCGTCTTAGGATGGAAAGACTCTGAATATGGATGCGAAGACTGCGAGAAATCAGGGGATTTTTGTCGTTTCAACATTACAAGCAATTCAACAATCTGTTTGAAACAACCACGTGAGACAAAGCTCTCTGTTTTCTGACATTCTCTGTATCTTTAATTTATTTCAGCCTCTGCTCCTCTTTTTTCCATCTAAATCTGAATTCATTTCTTTGTTATACTCTGTGCATCAAGCAAACTTCAAATCATTTGTAATCTGAGCTAATTTTTTTTTTCTTTTGAAATGCAGATCCTCGGGGTCCTGGATTTAAAATTGCAGTATCTACATCCACATGTATTGGAGGCCTTGTTGTTTTAGCATTGGTGATATTTCTTGTTTATAGATGTCGGAAATCTGAACAGGAAAAGGAAATTCAGGTAAAGGTAGAGAAGTTCCTGGAAGACTACAGGACCCTCAATCCAACTAGATATACTTACAGTGAGCTTAAGAAAATAACCAGCAAATTTAAGCACAGACTCGGCCAAGGTGGTTATGGAAGTGTCTTCAAAGGAAAACTTTCTAATGGAATTCCGGTTGCAGTTAAGATGTTAGAAAATACAAAAGGAAATGGTGAAGAATTTATCAATGAAGTGGCTACCATCGGTAGGATACACCATTTTAACATTGTTCGTCTTTTAGGATTTTGCTCAGAAGGGACACGTTGCGCGCTTCTTTATGAGTTCATGCCAAATGGATCTCTTGAGAAGTTCATCTTCTCAAAGATTAATGAATCAACTCATCGTCTATTGAGTTGGGAGAAACTACAAACGATTGCAATAGGTGTTGCACGTGGAATAGAGTACCTTCACCAAGGATGCAACCAGAGGATCCTTCACTTTGACATTAAGCCTCACAATATTTTACTAGACCATAATCTTCGCCCGAAAATTTCAGATTTTGGGCTTGCCAAACTCTGCTCTAAGGATCAAAGTATCATATCCATGACCGCGGCTAGAGGAACTCCAGGATATACAGCACCCGAGCTGTTCTCCAGGAACTTTGGAGAAGTTTCTTACAAGTCAGATGTATTTAGCTACGGAATGATGTTGTTAGAGATGGTTGGATGTCGGAAAAATATTGATCTTTCAATTGAGAATCAAAGCCAAATTTATTTTCCGGAGTGGATATATAACAAAGTGAGTCAAGGTAAAGAATTTGCTTTAGAAATTGAGGCAGATGGAGATGAAGAAATTGCCAAGAAGCTTTCAATTGTGGCACTTTGGTGCATTCAATGGAATCCAAAAGAAAGGCCTTCAATGCCAATAGTAATACAAATGCTTGAAGGTGATATACAAAGCTTAGAAATGCCTCCAAAGCCCTTCGTTTCTTCCGATGCTGAAATGGATACAATTTGATATACTAGTGAATATTTAAAAGGATATGTGTCTTTGAAATACGTCTATGTATAAAAGTTCATTCATTCTTCTCCTTGTAATGGCAAGTGTAACCAAATTCAGATTGATTAACGAATTACATTTAATTTTTTTCCGGTCTTTTTATAATTTATTGCAGTTTTAATATTCTTTTTCTTTTCATTTTTGGTGATAATCTCTCATATATTTTGATACAATATATGTGTTGTTGTGTTCAGTCTAGAAATTTCAGGATTGAATGTTATGTAACGTTCCAATCTGGTGTGCTGAGAGGAAGTTTAATAAGGCCTGACGTGTTATATTCTTTGTATCTAGTTTCATGACTACAATGGCCATCTTTATAGACTTTTAGTTATTAGAGTCTTCCGATTCCTTCTCATAAATTGTTGTAACTGCTTCTGTTTGTTTAATTTTTGAATTTGTATTTTAAGTTACAGCTGTAAACTTATCTTTAGGGATACGGTTCCAATCTGTTACAATCTTTTGTATTTATATACTTTAATGAGAAGCCGTGTGGCATATTTCCTCTCCTCTGTTCCTCCGTTTCTCTCATTAATTATATGGTATCAGAGCATTTAATTGCTGCTGCTCTCTTCTCCAGCCACCAGTACCATGACAACAACCAATAATTCCAACTCTCCACCTATTATTCAAAACACAAATGAACCAAACACATCTCTCATCTCCATCAATATCTCTGCCCAAGCCCCACTCAAACTCACCACAACCAATTACATCTCCTGGAAACTTCAATTCCACACTCTCTTTGTCGGCTATGACCTCTTAAGATATATAGATGGATCCAAACCTTGTCCACCCTCCACTATTACTCAAAACAACACCACTGTACCAAATCCTGCTCACAATACCTGGATTAGACAAGACCAACTAATCCTTAATGCTTTAGTTGGATCTCTTTCTCCCACAATTATCCCGTTCATTGCTAGAGCCAAAACATCAGAAGAAGCTTGGTTGATCCTGGCAAACACATATGCCAAGCCATCTCGAGGGCGCATCAAGTACGTAAAGAATCAAATTAAAAATCTAACCAAGGGGTCTCAAACTGTTACAGAGTTTCTTCAATTGGTGAAGTGTCGGGCTGATGAACTTGCTATTCTTGGGGCACCAATGGATGATGATGACCTCACAGACAAAATTCTTGATGGTCTTGGGGATGAAAAATTATTAATCATTGCAATGACTTGAACCTAACGTGAATTTTTTTTTTTTTTTTTTTTTAAATAATCACCATGTCACTCATCGTATCAGTATATCATTTACATGTAAAACATATGACCAGAAATGAGAATTTTAGAGATTCTACTTGTGAAGGGTAATATTTGTGTTACATTATGGAAGCAAGTTTGATCCACTATTTTTCTTTCGGGATTCAGGATGAGCTCTATTAAAAAAAATGGGCTCACAGCCCAAAACCAACGACTTTTGGTCAGTCATCAACATCAGGCCCAACATTTTTCTCAAATCCCTTGAGTTGGAAACTATAAGTGCTTCTCTCAAGCCATAAGGGTTGCTTTGTGAAATGAAATGATAAAATATGCAGAGAATGATTTACATGAAAAAATTTAAAGTTGAAATGAAATGAGTCATAGAAATAGTACCAGGATTTTTGAGAGGCTAATTATGTTGACAGAACATAGAGAGCACAAAGGCTTAAAATGCAATATTGCTTCATCGCATTTTATCTATGTGCTCTCTATCTTCTGTCAGCAAAATCATAACATCAAGCCCCCTTTAGCCAATTTAAATATTAATCATCTGTTCATATCATAATTCTGTATTAATATAATATTTATTAGTTAATAATGGCACAATGTACACATAACATAAATGTGGACAATTTTTTTTTTTTTTCTTTCATTGGATAAGTTTCATTCAACTTCATTTTAAGATTTGGCTCAAGTTTCTTTCATATATTGAATATAAAAGTTGGTTTTGACTTTTGAGGAATGTTTTGGAGAAAGTTTATGATGATATTCAAATATGAGATGAGGCAATGTATTTGTTTACACTACAATACCTATAAAATAGAGGAATAATCAGAAGGAAGTCAATTGGGATTTTATTGGCGTAGACTCCAACGATCAAGTTAATGTCATTATCGGTTGATGAACAAACCCTAAACCCTAAACCTTTAATTTTTATTCACGGGGCTAGTGTGCCTTCCCTTCTTGGTTTTCCCTTTATGGTTATCTGTTATAAGGCCTTTTTTGGGGCCAAGTATTACATGTCCCATGCAAATCTATATATATATATATATATATATATATATACATGCATATTTTTTTGGTATAATAGAATTTCTAAATGTATAATATTCTTTTCTTTCATTTAGCTCAATAGTTAATTCCATTGATGATGTTAAACCGAATATATATGTACACATTAATTATTCATATGTCACGGCTTGATATCAGTCAGAAGACTTTTCCCCAAAAACTAAAGGGCCATTTCATCCTAACCCATAATAGAAAACTTTGTTATTGTGTAAAAACTTTGGACCCTGCATTCATGTATCGGAGCTTCTATTCAGGCTTAAAATCCTGAACCTGTAAATGGAAGCTTCTAAGCCCGAAACATTTAACATTCTACTCTCTAATATGGTTTCCAATTTGTTTGTTTATTAGCAAGTAGTTCCAGCCGCGTTTTTACACTCTCTGCAAATCCAACAATATGACAAGAAACTTTAATTATTCTGTTCAATTATTTAGCCCAAGTGGAGCCACAGGGTCCATTAACTAATCATATTATCTGTGGAAAGTGTTTCTCCAAATCCTGCCAAAATCAAGTCCATGTCCTGGAAGGAACGACCTGGAGGTGTCTAGTTAACCCACTACTTTTTGTTTTAAGCCAAAAACCACGACCCGCCATTGTTAAATATGTAAAAAAAATTTGTTTTCTCCGGGGAGAAAATCAATGAGAGATGTGGACTTTGTGGCCTGCTTTTTAAATTTCAGATAACAAATACATATTCTCTGGTCTTAATACTTACAGTGATAAGAAGTTTCAAGCCAAATAGCACGAAAGAGCAGAAATAATTTCCGAGTACAAGTCTCATTCAAGTTTGTCGTCTACCCGATATTTTAAAAATTGTGGTCCTGAAATACGCAAATGAAGCCATCTTTCATTAATATTTATACATAAATGTATCTTTTCAGCATTCATCATATTGTTTTTCCAAATTCAGAGTATCCCTGGAGAGCAGGAACCATGAGGGAAGAATCGTTAAGTTTTTTGAGTTTCTTAATGTCTCTGTTGATGTTCCTCTTCATCAGTGAAATACAAGCAAGAAAACTTCAACAATGTTCTTCATCCTGTGGAGAAATCAATATAGAATACCCTTTTCGCCTAGAGGGAGATCCAGCAAATTGTGGTAATTCTGACTTTGAACTTTCATGCGAGAGCAACAAAACCATCCTTGAATTCGATTCAGAAAAGTACTATGTTAAGGAGTTTTTTCATAGAGAAAATAAAACCAACGTTGTTAATATTAACTTAGCCAATGGGAGCTGAAGCCTTCCATACAAATCTCCGGTGCCAGAAGATAATGCGCCACAATTTAACTACTGGATACCTGATAGTTATTCCTCTGTCTCATTTTTAAGGTGTTACAGGAATATCAGTGATCCAGCCTGTAGAAGAGTTCCTTGTTGGAGTGGCAATAACTCATATATTTATATTACATATTCAGCTGACGTTGTTTCTAGTATTCCAGTTTCTTGCTCGGTCATTTCAGTGGTTCCATCAAAAATTAATTTTACATCTACATTTAGGAATAATGAGATTCCTTCTTATGAAACCTTCCGCGAGATTCTGCAGATGGGTTACAATCTCACATGGTCAGTTGAGGGTGTCAAAGATTCTGGTGAATGTGAACTTACTCTGATATCACGTTTACCCCGAACTTTTATTTGCAATAATAAAAATGAAGGTAAGATTTTCTTTTCTGCAAATCTGTTGATGGTGTGATCAGTTTGTTAATTGATTTAATATTTTACTTTCCAGGATTTGTTAAGTATATATTACCCCTATGGGAACACATTAGTCTAGCACTCAGACCCTTTCACCCAGGTATAATTTCCTGTGAAGATTTCCTGATTTCTTTGCCTGAACATAACGCTTAACTTCTCTTAATTTTTTGTGTGCTTCCGCAGATAGTTTTTCCGAATATCTAGATTACTCTCTGAATAGCACTTCCCAAACAATCTTTCTGTTCCTTTGTTTTGGAATGGTTTCCTGGCTAGAATTCCAGTATTTATTTCGATTTCTACGACTAAGTACCATGGATTTAATGATTTTCTTTTTTCCTTATTGCAGTGGCTCTTTTTTCAAGATTTATCCTGGCTCCCACCATTCTGTTGCTGTATATTCTCCACAAATATAGAAAAAAGTATAATAGAACTGATAATGTTGAGAAATTTTTGCACAATCAGCAATCCTGGATGCCTAAAAGGTACTCGTACGCTGAGATAATGGCAATGACAAACCACTTCGAAGTCCATTTAGGCAAGGGTGGCTTTGGATCTGTCTATAAAGGTCAACTTCGCAGGGGCTGCTTAATTGCTGTTAAAGTGCTAGAAAACTCCAAGTTCAGTGCTGAAGAATTCATCAATGAGGTGTCTACGATAGGTAGAATTCATCATGTTAATGTGGTGCAATTGGTCGGTTTTTGTGCAGAGGGATCTAAACGTGCCCTTGTATATGAGTATATGCCTAATGGATCTCTTGATAGACATATCTTCTCAAAAGTAGATAGAGGTACGACATCATTCAGTTGGGCGAAACTTCATGAGATTGGTTTAGCAACAGCTCGTGGGATTGAGTATCTTCATGTGGGCTGTGATGTGTGCATTCTTCATTTTGACATCAAGCCTCATAATATCTTATTAGACCACAATTTTCACCCAAAAGTCTCGGATTTCGGACTTGCAAAATTTTATCCAAAGGAAAATGATTTTGTGTCCGTTAGTGCTACAAGAGGAACTATAGGGTACATAGCTCCTGAGTTAGTTTCAAGGAATTTTGGACCCATCTCATGCAAGTCCGATGTTTATAGTTTTGGGATGCTATTGCTGGAAATGGTCGGAGGAAGAAGGAATTCTGATATGAGGACAACTCGTTCGAGCAGAGCATACTTCCCGTCGTGGGTATATGACAGAATAAATTTAGGAGAAGATTTAGAGCTCCCAAATGTTTTCGAAATTGAAGTTGTCATAGCGAAAAAACTTTGTATAATTGGGTTATGGTGCATTCAAGTGAAGCCAGTAGATCGTCCTTCAATGACCAAAGTTATGGAAATATTAGAAGGAAGCATTGATGAATTGCAGATGCCTCCTAAGCCTTTCTTTTCTTCTACTCAACATACCTCCATCAGAGGGACTGAATCCTATTCTTCAACTGAGTGGCAATTATCTGAATCAATAGAAGAATCAATTCTTGTAGAATAAGGGCTTTTTATAGTGTATTGTACTGTTTCTATTTTAGGGCTAATTGCTTTAAACGATTTGAAGTTATCTTGTAATGAAATCACCCCCTTTGTTTTCTAAAAGAAGTAAAAATCTCTATTGTTAATGAAAAATGATTATTTGACTGTTAAATAAAAGGTTAATAGTGAACCTTATGATGCTTTTTCACATTTGACTGGTAAAAAAACCACACTCTGATGGTGATAATGGAAAACCTGAAACAATATTGAAGCAAACCTAGATCGAACTGAACTAGAAGACTGATTAGAACGAATTCAGAAAAGTATTCTAAAACTTATACTAACTATGACATTCTTATCAATGCAATTTCCTCACAACAACAACAACATATATATATATATATATTTTTTTTTTATATTTAATGTATGCTCAAAATTGTTGGTCTTCCTGAAAATTAATTTTTGGTTCCGCCCCTGTTACCACTAATAATATTTTATTTTGGACTTGATAATTGATACGGGAAGAAAACAAAAATGAACAACAGTGAGAAGTCTGGTCAATTAAGCCTGCTAATATTTATTCATTTCCACTTGTTTCCAAGAAGACTCGCGATGGAAGATTTAATGTTGGAAAACTTCTAACTCTTGCTTGTCTGTTCCTTCTCGGAAATTTGCCATTTGCCACATAAAGGCCAAACTTTAGAGTTTAGACAATTCCTCTATCCCTCTTCCTCTCTCAAGCTCTACTTTTCTCTCTGTTCGTCTGTCTCCATGACCCTTCTGCTAAGTATAATCTTCTTTCTTGTCTTACCTTACTCAGAAGCCAGAAATAACACTTCTGGAAACAACGACCAGAATGCTTATGAATTCTGTAAACCCACATCTTGCAGCCCAAAAGGCCCCCGAATCCGTTTTCCCTTTAGACTCATAAATCAATCAAATTTTTGTGGACTTGAAGGGTTTGAACTGTCATGCTCTGGGAACAAAACTCTGTTGCATCTTCCTTTCTCCGGCGATTACTATGTGCAAAAAGTTGACTATCTTCGAAACACTGTAACCATCATGGATGTGAATGAGACACCATGCTCACTGCAAAGTCTTCACTCTCCTAACTTCTCAGAGTCCAGATTCATTACCCGCATGCAACAGAACAATTACACTGTAGTGAACTGTACTGAGAGGATTTTTCCAGATTTTATTGCTGCAGTGGGACCCATTTGTCTTAGTGATGAAACAAATCTTTTTTACGCAATGGATGAACATGAGTTCAGCAGCTCTCTGCCTTCATTTTGCAGCGTATATGGAACATTTAGTATTCTGCATGTGGTTGACACTTATTTTTATGAGGACGCTATTGTGAGGGCCTTTACAACACGAAGCATCGACATTGAATGGAATGCTATTGATGGATGCTATGGCTGTGAAAAATCAGGGAAATACTGTGGATTCAACACTACAAGCAATTCAACAATTTGTATCAGACACAACTGTAAGATCCTTAAAATTTCCCTCTTCTTTCTCAGAGTTCTATTTAAAATTTTCTATTTTTGAAGTTGAATGATGGCATCTGCTTTCTCAAATTACTTTTATGCCGGCAAAACAGAGTATAGGAAACAAAAGAAGGGGAGCAGACACTAACTGTTTTTTCTTTCAATATACAGATTCGCAGCTGGGTTGTATACTTTTAATTTCGGTGTTCACAGTTATTGGAGCCATTGCGTTCTTTGCATTGGTGATACTTCTCGTTCACGAATGCAGGAAATCCGAAAATGAAAAGAAGACTCAACTAAAGGTGGAGAAGTTCCTTGAAGACTACAAGACAGTCAGTCCAACCAGATATGCTTACCGTGAACTTAAGAAAATAACCGGTAATTTAAACATAGACTTGGCCAAGGAGGTTTCGGAAGTGTCTTTAGAGGGAAGATCTCTAATGGAGTTCCAGTTGCTGTTAAGATGTTGGAACATTCAGAGGGAGATGGTGAATAGTTCATCAATGAAGAATCTACTATTGGTAGAATTCACTATTTTAACATTGTCCACCTTTTGGGATTTTACTCGAAAGGAACATGACGTGCTCTTATATACGAGTTCATGCCCTATGGATCTCTAGAGAAACTCATTTTCTCAAAGATTAGCAACTCCAATCATCGCCCATTGAGTTAGGAGAAATTGCAAAGCATTGCAATTGGTGTTGCACGTGGAATAGAATACTTGCATCAAGGATGCAACCAAAGGATCCTTCATTTTGATATCAAGACACATAATATACTACTAGACCATAATTATCAACCAAAAATTTCGGATTTTGGGCTTGCCAAGCTATGCTAAAAGGAACAAAGTATTGTTTCATTGACAGTTGCTCGAGGAACTACTGGATACATTGCCCCCGAGCTCTTCTCTAGGAACTTTGGAGATATTTCTTACAAGTCTGATGTGTTTAGTTATGGTATGATGTTGTTAGAGATGGTTGGATGCCGAAAGAATATGGATTCGACAATTGAAAATCAAAGCCAAATTTACTTTCCTGAGTGGATATACAACAAAATGAATCTAGAAAAAGAGCTCCATTTGGAGATTGAGGTAGATGGAGATGAGGAAATTGACAAGAAGCTTGCAATTGTTGCACTTTGGTGCATACAATGGAATCCGGCAGAACGACCTTCAATGCCAATGGTAATACAAATGCTTGAAGGTGATTCACAAAGCTTGGGGATACCTCCAAAGCCTTTGTTTCTTCAGACGATGAAAGGGATTAAAATTTCTATATTAAAGACACAATTGTAATGACATTTGAAACCAAATGTAATAAGTTTGAGATATTTGATTATGCTTATAAAGAACCAATTCTGCTCTTTTATATACTAGTTTTAACTCTTTGGGTTAACGTCTATATAAGTTTATGCTGGACTTAAACTAAACTAAGGGCCTCTTTATGGCCAGTTTTGGGTTAATATCTATAAATATGAGACATCTTTTGGTAAAGGGTGGTAAAGGGTAGACGATTTTTAGCCAATTGGCAAGTTCTCACCCCCTTGTTTCATTTATTCCAGATTTCCTCCCTTAATTAAACACCGTCTGTGACTGTTCAACAAAGGGTGGGAATATGAAAAACTGACTTGATCCTTTTATCGAGCAGGTGGCGGCCATAACTTNCTGTGTGTTAATCTTCTACTAGAAATCATGCACGCTCCAGTACTCGTTCTCAGTAAGTTTATTTCTTCCAATTTTCGAGCCTTCACTATGTATTGATCTTTCGAAATCTATCTTTTGATTTATTTTTTGAAATGAACAGAGGATTCGTTGAAGCGCGAGTCTGGAACTAAGGTTCATCATGCCAACATTCAGGCTTCTAAGGTAAATGTAACTTTCTTAAGACCGTAAATCTTTATTTTATTAATATTTTAACCCTAAATACTTGTTTCCACAATTTTACAGGCTGTTGCTGACATCATTCGTACAACCTTGGGTCCCCGATCCATGTTAAAGATGCTTCTTGATGCTAGTGGAGGTGATTTTCGTTTTCTTCTTAATAACTTGTATTGAAAGATTGTTTAGATTTGAGAGGTGTTAAGTGTGTTTTTCATATGCTAGGTAAGTTTACTGAGGTTGTTTGAACTCTGTTTTACAGGAATTGTAGTTACTAATGATGGAAATGCAATTCTCCGTGAGCTTGATATTGCCCATCCAGCAGCTAAGGTTTTGTTTAACTCTCTTGTTCTTGTCTCATGGATTTTGTTACCATATATTATTGCATTTTGCTAATTTTCCGATTTTGCTTCGGAATTTGATTTTTATTGCCACTTTGGTTTTTCTTCTGAAATGTTTGTTTGTGGATGGGTGGCAGTCGATGATTGAGTTAAGCCGCACACAGGATGAAGAAGTAGGAGATGGAACAACTTCTGTCATTGTCCTTGGTAAGATTCTTGTGAATACTCATGCATGATCTTTACATCTGTTCTGCTCTGGATAGATTATTATATTTTGTATTTTAGTCCAGGAAAGTAAGATTGATGTAAGATAAGTGATTGTTTCAGCTGACGATATATATTTAACATGTATGCTGGATATGAGATTGCCTTAATTTGGCTGAGTCTGAGTAGTAGGAGTATCACAGTGTCCGTGTTTTTGTTTGTGCAGATTATACTTACATTTGAGTTCTTTCTGCAGCTTCTTTGTACCCTTTTCAGGGAGATGCTCTCTTAGTAGTAGAAATCTGGTCCACTTGCTGCATTTTCATGCTTATATGTGATAGAAAAATCTTTTTGTTTAAAAGAGCAAAAAAAATTGACTGAATGCTTGTTAGAGTGTAGACCTTGTTATCTGTGTGGCTAAATAGCATATCCTGATATGGTTCCTTTCTTTGCTTTTTGAACAAACATGTAGCTGGTGAAATGCTTCATGTTGCCGAAGATTTCATTGACAAGAATTATCATCCTACAGTTATCTGCCGAGGTAATGTTGCTAGTGCCTTTAGGTAGTTCATATCTTTGCTTTTGATGACTTTCAAGCCTATAAATTAATTACGACTAGTATTAATATTTTTTATTTTGGTTTGCAGCTTACAACAAAGCTTTGGAAGATGCTGTTGCTGTGCTTGATAAAATTGCAATGCCCATTGATGCTAAGGATCGTAAGTTTCTTGAACGCTTGATTTTCTTCACTTTGAGTTCTTGGCATCTTATGAATGTGTTTTGAAATGTTCTTATAGTTTTTGATGTGAGAGTAATGAATCATTTTTATGGCAGGTGCGACAATGTTAGGACTGGTTAAGAGTTGCATAGGCACAAAGTTCACCAGTCAATTTGGTGATTTAATTGCAGTAAGCATCTACTTTTATGGTAAAGGTTATGTCATTGATGTTACACCTTTTTCCTTTTCCTTTGACCCATTTTGCCTTAAAAGAGAGGGGAGGAATGTAAATCTTACAACATAAAGAGGGTAGTTATAGAAAAATCTTAATTTGATCCCAGACTGTAGAATCTATCCTAACCTGAGATTTCATCACTTAAAGTTGTGTTAAAAAGAAGGTTGAAGGGAGTTTTTCAGGGTCCATGGTCCCCGCCTCCCCTGCCTCCTCTTCTGGTTGCATTCCATTCCCATACTTCTATAGAAATTAAATTTTTTCCTTTTTATTTTAATTTATTCAGCTAACAGAATTCTATATTATTTTAAGAAAATTTCGTATCTTGGATGCTGCTATTACTTTTAATTGCCTGGTCCTACTTCCTAGTAAAGCTGAAGAGACCTTAGCTAGCTTGAAGTTAATTCTGTATGAAATTTTAGATTCCCTATGCTTGAATAGAAAAACTATGACGTTTGCTAGTTGTTCCTTCTCATATATATATATTCACTTTATGGTTGCATGTATTTCTTTGGTTGTAAGTTAGTCCCACATGCGTGTATGCATGCATGCAGTTATGAGCTATAATGTCTGTTTTGTACTTTTTGTAAAATTTTAAATAACCTAAGGTAGAGCAAGGAATGTTACACACTATGTTCTGAACAACCTGTAAAATGTATTGTAGGTAGATAATCTGACTTGTTTTTGTATCTTTGTTTAACTAAAAGGATTTAGCTATCGATGCCACCACAACAGTTGGTGTTGATCTTGGCCAAGGGTTGAGGGATGTGGATATTAAGAAGTACATTAAAGTTGAGAAGGTCCCTGGTGGTCAGTTGGAAGATTCTAGGGTTCTTAAAGGAGTTATGTTTAATAAAGATGTTGTTGCCCCGGGCAAAATGAGAAGAAAGATTGTCAACCCTCGTATTATACTTCTTGATTCTCCCCTCGAATACAAGAAAGGGGAAAACCAAACAAATGCTGAGTTGGTTAAGGAAGAAGATTGGGCAGTCCTCTTGAAAATAGAAGAGGAATATATTGAAAACCTCTGCATGCAGATACTGAAGTTCAAACCAGACTTGGTAATTACAGAAAAGGGGCTAAGTGATCTGGCATGCCATTATCTGAGCAAGGCTGGTGTTAGTGCAATCAGGAGGTTAAGGAAGACAGACAATAACCGAATTGCCAAAGCTTGTGGTGCTGTTATTGTGAACAGACCAGATGAATTGCAGGAGTCTGATGTTGGTACTGGGGCCGGCTTATTTGAGGTTAAGAAAATTGGAGATGAATTCTTTGCGTTCATTGTAAATTGCAAAGATCCAAAGGCTTGTACTGTTCTTTTAAGGGGTGCCAGTAAGGATCTCCTGAACGAAGTGGAAAGAAATCTGCAGGTATTTGAGTCTAACTGATGTTCAAATTATTCTTTCTGGAAAATTATAGCTTTTTATTTTGTGGGGGGTTGTGAATCTTGGTTCTATTACAGGATGCTATGTCTGTGGCAAGAAATATAATCAAGAATCCAAAACTTGTTCCTGGTGGTGGGGCTACAGAGTTAACAGTATCAGCCACTTTGAAGCAAAAGAGTTCATCAATTGAAGGAATTGAAAAGGTGAATATTTTAAGTTGAATCATTTTGATCATTCATCAGTGAATTTTCCAAATGATTTGGAGTTTTGAATGTTTCTTTACATCACCTGTAATATAATAGGTGAAAAAAGGAAGTGAACTTGACTTCTGTGTTTCGTTTTTTTTCTTTTAATAATTATAATTATTATTATTATTGTTATGTTTTGTATTGTTCTTTTGTTAATGCTCAATTGTAAAACAGTGGCCTTACGAAGCTGCTGCGATTGCCTTTGAGGCTATACCACGGACATTGGCACAGAATTGTGGGGTTAATGTGATTCGGACCATGACTGCCTTGCAAGGAAAGGTATGAATTCTTCTGGAGTGTGGTTGTATATTGTTGATTAACTTTATTCATTTCATACGTATACTAACTGTTCTAAACTGACATTTTCAGAAACCTCATTTATGGTTCCTGTTTCCAGTAAAGCTGATTTGTCTGGATCTGTTTTGCAATTTATTGATGTTTTAAATTTTGGAATTTGTCTTGTCTGATGATCCCTTGTAAATGTCTTGTCTGCTAGGGTTGTCCCCTTTGGAATTTGCTTAATGAATTTATTATTGAATATAACCACTTATGCTGATTTATCTTCTTTCTATTGTTCTCAAACTATTACTGTAGCATGCAAATGGTGAAAACGCCTGGGTTGGCATAGATGGAAACACCGGTGCAATTACTGACATGAAAGAGCAAAAGGTTTGATCATATTGTTATCTTATTATTTCTCTTGTTTATGGTAGAATTTTGTTGTGAAAATTCTTGGTAATATTTTTGTTTCTCTCTTGAACTTGTTCTTCCATAAATTTTGTCCAATTTGTTACTTATACACCTTGTTTGGCACCAAAACCACGGAATCTGATGTTTGTAACTAGGAATTTGATGATGGATACTTAACTATATGCTTGTTTCTTTGTGATCAGATCTGGGATGCATACAATGTGAAAGCACAAACCTTTAAAACAGCAATTGAAGCTGCCTGCATGCTTTTGAGGATTGATGACATTGTAAGTGGGATTAAGAAGAAGCAGGCCCCTGGCACAGGCCAAGCACCATCAAAACCCAAAATTGAGACAGAAGCAGATGCAGACGGTGAGCAAATACTTCCTGACTAAAGCTGTTGAACAGTTTGGCTGACTTGGTGGTTAAAGTATTTGACAAAATGCTGGTTTGTTGTTTTGTCGGCTGTCCAAGGTTTGGTTGATTACATTGTTTTTCTTTTCCAAAATTTTGAGGCCTTGGCTGTGATTGCTGTTGTTTTAGTGATTGTAACTGTTATTAGTTCCAAGTGTTCAAACACCTAGAGAAAAGCTGTGATATTTTATCTTTTTATGTGAACTTTTTAGGACAAGTTTTTATCAAGTGCCATCTAACGTGTTGTGTAGGCACTTCCCAGTTTGTGCTTCTTTTTATATTTACAAGTTCTTGTAGATTACAAAAGATGACTAATAGTGACAGAAATTACTCTTTCAAATGGGTTCGGGGAGACCATATCGTTGCATTTCTTATATTCATACTGGGAGAATTATGTTATTGGATGATCAAATGTGGTAATGTTATTATAACTGATAGTCAAAACAGTCCCAAGATTTTCAGAAGGGCCCAAAGAAGTTGTGTTATGTGCTCTATTGCAACAAACTTTTTGCCCATTTTGAAATAAAAAATAGATGGGATCCAACCCAAGGGAGAAGGGCCAATCCCAATTGTATTATAAGATAACTTGTAGGGGGTGTTTGGTTCAAGAATGTTAGATTACTAGGAATGTTGGATTACTAGAAAGATAGATTACCTTGGAAGATTTCTGGAAAACTTTAAGAAAATATGTTTGGTTAGTTGGTGGGTATGTTATATTAATATGTTTGGTTATGGAAATAAATTGGTGGGTATGTTATTTAAATTACTAAATTGATCCTTTTTTAAATATTAATATAATATTATTTTTATTATTAATTTTTGAATAATTTTTAACCCCCAATATTTCAGGTTTAGCTAAAACACCCCTGCTTATAAAAAACTTTAATTTATGACGAAATCACTCCTACCTCCTGCCGCCGCTTGCCGCCATCGCGAACCACCGTCGGAAAATCGTCGGAGCCCCTAAAAAAGAAGAAAATTCTGTGGGAGGCTCCGGAAGGCTTCGTTATGGCCGTTTCCGGCCATATTGATGGTCGAAAACGGCCAGATCCCTGGCCATTATCGGCCAGGTCTGGACTAGATTTGGCCGTTAACGGCCACGGATCTGGCTGTTAAGGCCAGATCTATTTCGACCAGAATAGATCTGGTTGTTAACGGCCATAACGAAGCTCCCCGGAGCCTCCCACGGAATTTTCTTCTTCATTAGGGACTCCGATGATTTTCCGACGGTGGTCTGTGGTGGTTGACCTGCTGTCAGCGGTGGTAGCTGGGTGGTAGTGGTGGTGGTAGCTGGGTGGCAGTGATGGTTCGTAAATAATTTTAAATATAAGGGTATTATTGTCCAAAATTTTAATTAAACAAGGATAAAATTGAAATAAGATATTAATGTAAATTTGTTTTAAAGTAGGGGTATTATTGTTTAAAATTTTTATTAATAAGGGATAAAATTATAACAAAAAAAGATAATCCTGGTAATCTCAGAATACTTAAGAAAATGGAGGTAATCAGATTACCTCTGATATTACCAATAGTAATCATTATTGGTATTTAAAGATTATCGATATCTGATATTACTTGACAATCAAACATGATAATCAAGTAATATAAGATGACATTATCTCAATAATTCTATTTAACCCTCAACCAAACGTCTCCGGGTTGTCAGATGTAGAATCAACCGAAAAAAGAGACCCACCACTAAATGCATGTATTCCACATACTTTGTGTTAATGATTGTTGTTCTTTTCTGACCTATCAACAACATCCTCCCTACTATTTTATTGACGTTGAGTAGCATGAGATACCGTCATGCAAAATTGGAGACTAGCGAAATGGCCAGCCCTTATTCACAAGATGACTATTCCCCTCCTCAAAAGTACAAATTTATAGAAGCAAAAAGCCACCAGGTGAAGTGAGATTTTTTCTTTAAATAAAATTTGCATCTGATTATGATTTGACCTAAGAATATAAAACAAATAAATTTACAAGTAACAGTCCATCCATTTATTGTTATGTGCCATCTCACGGAATCTCCTCCACATGTTTGATTTATAAATCAGAACTGTGGGAACTGGGGCAGGCTTTATCTTCTCTAAGCCAATGTTTGTCATCTTCTGTTTCCAATCTATCGTCAAATTTGATTGTTGTTCATTCCCTCCCTTTTCTCCTCTTTTTATTACCAAATAAAGGTAACAATAATATCCAAAAGGATAAATTTCAGGAATACTCGAAATAATTCATATAAAAAAAAAAAAAAAAAAAAAGAATTTGGATTGCACCAACTATAGTCTTTCAAAAGGAATGGTATGAGCTTTAATAAAATTTACAGTTGAACAGATAAGGAAGATAAACACTACCTAACCTACGTAAGCAACAAGCATTCAAGAGAGACATTATTATTATTATTAATTGAATTGATATTTTAGTAGTATTAAGATTTCAATTCAGATAGAATATCGTGTCTTAGAATCAGTAAAAATAAGTGTCATTGATAGAATTGTAAAGACAGTTAATGCATGGTCAATTGATGTGAAACAACAGACAATTATCAATAACTTGGAATTGTAAAGACAGTTAATGCATGGTCAATTAATGTGAAGCCACAGATAATTACCAATGACTTTAAGCACTACAAAATTAGAACCCCTAGTATCGATGAATTGTAAATTACAAATCAAGTGGATGAGGAGAATAAAAGAGTCATTGCAGAGTTGAGAGATCAGATTCGATATCTTAACTATATTAATCAAATAGATATTAATGTTTTTCTCGATCATCTAAATGAACAACGAATCGTATATACTTTAATTAAAGAAAAAATTATTACTACAATTAGACAAGAAGAGAAATGAAATAATCACAAGGATGATAGGACGAAAATATAAAAAGTTTCTTGGTATAAGCTCTAAACATTCTTGAAAAACTAAAAATATTTTTGCTTCAACAAGAAGATGTATAATTTAACGAGGTACTACGTACTCGTAAAATAAAAGATATAGTAACAACTTTAAAGCACAATTCATTATCTCAAACAATTTTAGATAAATATTTTATTTCATCTCAAACCTTTAATGTAACATAATATATATTTATTTATAATATACAGATAATTATTACTATGTAGAGATAATTTTTTTTAAAAATATGAATTAAAAAAAATTATAACTTATTATAATGTAGAGTTTATTTTTATTTCAAATTGGGACTAAAAATGTTTATGTGTGTCATACCCAACCACCGAAGTACCTTAGATACTGAATTTATAATATAAAAATTAAAATATATATTAAATGTAAAGATAGTATCACGTGTACTCCGCAAAGAAGTCACGTTAATAACGTAGGAAAATTTGTCATTTAATCAATCAATAAAACTATGACGAAGAAACTATTTATTTTGGTCCACTTTCCCCGAATCACAGCCATCCAAGAAATTTTAATTTCAGTTATTTATTTTCTGGTCTAACATTAAACATTCCCCATACGTTCTTGTACAATTGGATCGTTCACTTTTTTTTTTTTTTTCCTTAATTTTCTTTTGGATCATCATCATCATCTTGATCTCTTAAAGATCAAGAGTTGGAAGCAAAGGCACGGTAAGTACAAATGGAAATACTTCGTTTCTCTCTGTGTTTATCTTTTTACTTCTGTTTCTGTCTTGCTCTATAGAAAAACCATTTATCAGTTCCTATGTTTTCTTGTCTTCCTTATCTCCTTGGGAGCATCAATCTCTAGAAATATATAATCATATGATCTCAACCCTGTTGTGCTTTTTCCTATTTAATTTTAAGATTTAGCAGGTTGCAGCGAGAGGTGAAAGAATCATAACATGGATACAGAGAATAGCGTGAATCATGAGCCTGATATGGATGGGCGGGACATTGAAAATGATCAACTCATGGATTGCAAGGAGACTTGGACCGCTGAGTCTTACACTCAACCACTTTTGTCGAAAAGGGTCAACACCACTTCCCAGATTGCCATTGTTGGCGCCAATGTTTGCCCCATTGAAAGCCTTGACTACGAGTAACTACTTCTATTTCCCTTTATTTTACCCAACGCTTGCTCTTCTTTTTTCTTAAATTTCGCTACTTAATTTTACAGGATTGTGGAAAATGAGTTATTTAAGCAAGACTGGAGATCAAGGAAGAAGGTTCAGATATTCCAGTATGTAATACTCAAGTGGGCGTTTGCTCTTTGTATAGGGCTATTCACTGGACTTGTTGGCATCTTCAACAATATTGCGGTGGAGAACATATCTGGTTTTAAGCTACTTGTCACTACTGATCTCATGACCGACAAAAAGTGAGCTTTCTTTCTATTATATGTAGCTAGACTTCCATTTATCAATTACTTTTGTTTTTTATTTTACCATATTAGAATTGTTACTAGGAAACAATTTACATAAACATGGCTTTTTGACCCCATTCATTAGACATGTTTCTCAATAATTGTAGTTTAATTCAACCTGGTTGCTCACTAGTTCAGCCATAAGAAAGTAGAACGAATATATCATAACCTGCTCTCTTTAATCTAATTCTGTCTGCGAGTTTTATATTCAATTGGTTGTATAACTGTTATATGATAACAATTCTGGTGCAGGTATTTTAAGGCATTTGCTGTTTATGCGGGATGTAATGTAGGTTTGGCTGCTGCAGCTGGAGCTCTGTGTGCTTATATTGCTCCGGCAGCAGCAGGGTCTGGTATCCCTGAGGTGAAAGCCTATCTCAATGGTGTGGATGCTTATTCAATACTAGCTCCAGGTACTCTTTTCGTAAAGGTGAGTAAAATTTGACACCTATTTATGTGTGTGCACTTTGTGACTCTAGACATCTCATTATGTGTGTGCACATTGTCTCTCTGTACATGTGTTTGAGTGGGTGGATTGAAGAACATATTAAAATATACTGATCTTCTGGAATGTGGAAGAAACCAATTGTGGTTCATAATCACTAATAGTCCAATAGATGTATATTTATATGTGTATCATGTAATTTTATGCCAAAATTTCTGCTTCCCCCTTTTCCTGTTGATGTGTGCTTTTATGCTGATTTTTTCTATTTAAATTGTGAAATTCAGTACATTATCTTTTCTTAGTCTTCTTTTCCTCTTTTATGTAAAAACAATTATTGTCCA